TGCCACCAACCAATTGCCACCAACCAATTGCCACCAACCAATTGCCAGCAACCAACTTCCACCAACCAATTGCCACCAACCAATTGTCACCAACCACTTGCCACCAACAAACTGCCACCGCTCCAACTGCCACGAACCAATTGCCACCAACCAATTGCCACCAACAAACTTCCACCAACCAATTACCACCAACCAATTGCCACCAACAAACTTCCACCCACAAACTGCCACCAACCAACTGCCACCAACAAACCGCCACCAACCAATTGTCACCCATCAACCACCAATTGTCCGCTCCTGGTGAAGTTGTTGACATGTGGGGTTATCCGGTCCTATAAGTCATTGTTTATAGGACGTAACAAATCTCAGTTTCCAAGCGGAACGTATATAACTTTTTCATTTGGTTGCTTTGCGTTGCATTTTTTTACAGTTCGTTTCGTGTCCCCACCTTCTTTTACCACTTGCAAGGACAATGAAGTAGAGAGACTACCAACAGGTGTCCCCCTGTAGCCCTGTCCGCCGCTGAGGTCCAGCTCGATCCGGTACTGTATTCTTTGTTATTCTGAGTGTACAAATAATACCATCAAATATATACTAATTAACTCAATATTCTTTAAGTTTAATCAAGACCAAAACATCAAAATTGGTGCACATCAGGCAGGGCACACAACTCTAATGCTGTCGCAAATTCTGTCTAGAACCGACTGTGCAAATCGTTCCGTCATTGCTTGAATCATTTGGCCATCATGCTTGGACTAGTGACTAGTTTCAACTCAAACGGCTTGGGCGCTGAATTGTCAGCGGAGGCCGGCTTTGGCGATGAGGCACGGGTGCTAAACCCTTGTTGCGGTCCGTCCACGAAGTAAAACCGTGAATATTGTCTCGTTGCACGCAGCCTCGACATTGAAGAGCTGCATGTTTTCCGTTATCAATGCAAGCTGATTTGCAATGGCAACATGCTGTGGTCAAATATGCCCGTATGCACATTGTAGACCGAAGTTTTTTGTGCGATGTGCTGTAGTTGTGGTGGCTCTCAAAGGTGTTGTAGGTGGGCAGGGTGTTTGCCAGTGCCAGGAATTGATGTTGGTGCTTTTGAAGTGCTTGGTACAGGGAGTGAGTGGAAGTGCACTACAAGTGGAAGCTTTGAACCTTTGGTAGTAAACCGGATGTCAAAACTTGAAACGAAGAAGCAGCAGCAGCAGCAATACAGAGGGAGCAGCAGTAGAAGCAGCAGCGAGCGGCAACAATAGGAACATAAAGGAGCCTGAGGAGTGGTGGCTGCATGTTCTCACAGTCCGTAGGATGATGATGATGATGCCGAAGAGGCCAGAGAGTTGGGGACTGAACATCATATAGGCCTTGGAAAGCATGAAAGCTAAACAAGCCTCTTGAGGCGCAGGAAGTTGTTGTCAATCATGCCAGACACAAGCAACATGCCCAGAACAAACTCATTCAATTAACAGGCTAAACTCTCACAAAGTGTGCGGTTCTATTCTATTGCTGTTTGACAGGCCATCCGCGCTGGGGACAAGAATGCCAGGGTGGATTGGTTAATGAGGCCATCGGACCAACATGTTCCCTCCAGGTTGTATATGCAATGTTGGCACACTTCAACGTCTCACATCAATCAATACATGGGATATTAAGTTTCATCAGTCAAGCTTCGACAGTTTGGCATCAGAGAAGATGTGTTTTTTGGGTTGGATGTTACATGAGCCATGGTCAAAACTAGGGATTATCAAACATTACTAGGGGATGGTCATCCATTGGATAATGGGGATTTATAATGACCATCATTATAAGGGATGGGATGACCATACCAAATATACTGAGTTTTGACCATAGTTCACATGGCCCTGACATACCATGACTGCACGCAGGCGCCTTCCAGCTTGTTGAAATGGTCATGTATATAATGTCATGTAGCCATGTAGGCCATGTAATGTAGACGCCGCGTAGCTGCTAGCACGGTTGGCTTGGTTTACTCGAGACTGAAGCGTTTTTGCCCAAGCCTTTGCCGGGGAGACCCCAAGCCGAGGAGAATCCTCCCTGAGGAAATATGCTGCTCGCTATATTTTGTGTGCTTTTTTGATTCATATCACAACTGAGGTGCCCTCACACGTTACTTTGAACCGTTTGTGCTATCCTGGATGTCCTTGAAACACAAGTAGAAGAAGGACTTGGGAATGTGCAACACGTGCATCGAGCATCCATGTAAAGATGCCACTTTTCCACCGTGGCTTTTCATGCTCAGGGGCCCCTTTTTGAAGCCAGACCTCAGCGGTCTTAGAAAAGAGAGCCATAGGCACCGGCTGCCTTTCGATCGACGTGGTTTCTTCGAGCCCTTTGTTTTCGCTACCGCTGCGCTCCCGCTACATGGTAGCGGAGCGCAAGCTCCAGCGCCTTGGATCTACGCCCGCCCTACATCCTGAAGATTGTCCTCGCGCGGACTTGGCGGCTGGACCTTGGCAAGCCCCTCTATCATTTTTCCTTTGAGTTGGTTTTCGGCCCCGAGCATGTCCAAAGAAGATGGCAACTTCTCTATCCCATCGTGGGATGGGTCGCCACGAACGTGGCGTAAATACACACGGGAAGTTTCCTGGTTTTTCCGAGCTACACCGGTGGCAAAGCGCCGCTATGTTGCCACCAAGCTTCTCTCACGCCTCACCGGCCCGGCGAGGCTGCTGGCTATGAGCTGGAGTGACATGTCGCTGGACGACTATGGGGGCACTAAGGTTCTGCTGCAGCGCCTGGCTGCTTCTCCGTTGGTGCGCCAGAGCATCCCCAACGCCTCGGCAATTTGCAATCAGTACTTCAGCTTTGCTCGTAAGGCTCACGAGCCTATGACCCAGTTCCTGGTCAGGGAAGCACTTGGCTTCTCTGAGTTTGTTGAGGCTTTGGTGCGCCTGGCTGAGGAGAAGCGTGGCATTCGACAAGAGGACAAAGACTTTGGCCTTCCTGCTGAGGAGGCTGATTATGAGCAGGACTATGACTCCGGCTGGGATGCATGGTGGAATGATTGGGCTGAGTGGCCGCAGGACGATGAGAACGTTCCTGACCCCGAGGATGGTGACTTCGATCCCAACTTGGCTCAACCCACTACGACATTGCCGGTGTCTACGTCACGAGCGGAAAGTGGCTCGCCCCATGGTGGCGGATATCAACGTGTACTTCGAGGCACGATGTCTTCACCTAGCCGACGATCGGCTGGTGTGCAGCCATCACTGGCTGGCGATGAGCTCAACGAGCTTAGTTTTGCAGACTCCTTCGTCCTTGGAGTCTTGAGAGGATTTCGCCTTCTTCAAGCCGCAGGTTTGAGTGCTGATGAACGCCGAGACATTTTGTCGGCGACCCACGGATCCCTCGACTTCGATGAGGTGAACAGGGCACTGCAGACCCTATGGGACGAGCAGTTCACTGGCAGCCGCTCATCACATCCAACCCTCTTCAACTCCAACTGGCACGAATTGGCCACTGTTGAGGAGGAGGAACCTGAAGCTGAGTGGCACTCTGCCACTTGGGACTCATTTCATGTCTCCGGTGACTGGGGACAAGAAGATTGGTCTTCATGGGATTGGGCTGACGCCTACAACGTGGAGGCCTACGAGGACAAGAACACCACCCCGGAGGAGAATGATGAGGATTTGAAAGAAGCGCAGAAAGCTGAGCGCATGGCCGAATCTCTGGCTGTGGAAGCTCAACGTTCTTGGGCTGAAGCTCAACGAGCGACCGCCGCGCTTCGCAAAGATCGTGGTTTTGGACAACAACTTCCATCAGGTGGCATGGGCAAAGGTCGTGGTCCCTGCTTCCAATGTGGAGGCCCTCATCTTTCTCGAGAATGCCCTGACCGACAACACCCTGGTCCCTATAAGGGAAAAGGCAAGAGCAAATGGAACTACATGACTGAGTATGACCCGTACTCGTACGACGACTTCTTCACGGGCAAGAAGGGTGGTGGCAAGAAGGGAAAGAATGTCCATTGGCTTGAAGCTCAAGCCTGGACAAAAGGCAAGAAAGGGAAGGGCAAGTCCAATGCCCCAATGGGACGACCTTCCGTCAATGCCTACAACACTGAGATGCTCTTCGGCGCCTTAGATTTGCAGGCTCAGATCAATGAGACTGAGCGCACAGTTTCTCCACCTGAGACACATGGTCTCCTGGATTGCGGGGCTACAGCTTCCGCTGGCCCTCAGATTGCAGTTGAGCAACTGATCTCAACGATCGTTGACCGTGACCGACAGGCCGTGGTTTCGATTCACAAAGAAGATCGGCCCTACTTCAGGTTCGGGAACGGCAAATGGGGACAAGCGCTTTATCGTGTTTCGTTGACCTCGGCTGTTTCTGGAAAGCCTCATTGTTTTGAACTTTATGCACTACCAAATCCACCAGGTCTTCACGATCCTTCGTTCGATCGGTCGCAGCTGGCCCCCATCCTGATCGGCATGAACCATTTGGCAGGTCCCCATTCGTCCATGATGGTTGACTTTGCAACAGGTTTTGCTTTGGATTCTCATGAGGCCCATCCAGAGATTTACCAGTTGGAAAAGAACAAAAAGGGTCACTACATGTTGGACATCGCCTTTTTCCTCACCCGTGGTTTTACATGTCATGACGGACATCCCCACATCCATGTGATTGAGAAAGACACCTCCAACATGATCAACGACCACCACACACTTCAGTTCATGCCCTTGGAACTTCTTTCCCAAGAACATGCGCGAGTTGTTCATGAACATGAGGAAGCACGACTCCGACAGTCACGTCAACAGTTGATGACACTACATGCTTATGTTTGTGGCCGCCGTCTTCAGCTCTCAGCTGCTCAAATGCACGTGGCTGGAAGCCCGACGCCCAATTCGATTTCCCCGGACCACTCTTGCCATGTCCCGGAGCAAGGGCAGCCAGCTGACCGAAGAGCAGGGGAACAAGATCTGGGACATCAAGACGGCAGCCGCGGACTTCAGGGAGAAGATCACCGGCAGCCGCGAGAAGGAGCCACCTCGGCCCTTCGATCCTCCTCGAGGGGTCGGTCCGGATCCAAGAGATCCTCGGATGAGTCCGGAACAGTGGCCATGCTACGGAGAACATCACCTGGGCTCAGTGCGAGCGAACCCTCACGGTCAATGGCAACACTGCCAGGTGTGCAACATCCGCTGGATGTATGTCCCTCGCAAGGGCTCCCATGGCCAGAACACCAAGACCGATGCTCCACCCTTGGTTCAACGGATGCTGGACGAGCTGAAAGTTTTGATGAACTCGGAACGTCCATCGGCCGAGATCGTCCACGCCATGCAGAAGAAGGTGGATGCGGACATTGTCCTGGAGGACCTCGTGCACCGCCAGATCTCCAAGATCCAAGGGGAGCGCAACACGCCGGAGCAGACGGGCAAGGCCGTGGTGAAAAGCTCCGGGTATCCTTCCACCTCGCCGGCGACTCCGACCTCGAGGAACAAGACCAAGGGTCAGACATCCAGTCCTTCCTCATGGGAGATTTGCACTCCTCCTCCGACCGACCACTTCGAGAAGGATGTCAAGCAGCTGCTGAACCCCAAGGAGATGGAACAGCTCATGCAGCTCCTCGAGGAACGCAAGGCCGTGATGGAAGAGCAAGAACTGGCTGCCATGACCGGTCTGGCTCAGGCCTACGAGGAGGATGCATGACTTCATCGACCCCTTCCACTATGCCCTTGAAGAGCTCTATGGCCGCGAAGATGCTGCTGATGGCTACAACGCTGTTGAGCTCTATGGCATCAACAACTATGGACTTCGTCCTCGATGAGCAGGATGGCGTCTGGGAGATTGCCTGCGCACCTCACTCGTGGCTCAGTGAAGCTTGTGACCAACAAGGTCTTCGACCTCGCCGGATCAACCTCCAGCAGGGCTATGACATCTATAAGACGGCAACCTGGGAGCATTTGAAAGGTCTTCGACGCCGTCATCGTCCCCGGCGACTGTGGTTCAGTCTTCCCTGCACCAAGTGGTGCCAATGGTCCAAGCTCAACTATGCCACAGAGGAGCGTCAAGAACTGCTGGCCACATATCGCCGTCGGGAGCGACGCATGCTATGGCAAGCAGCTCACTTCATTGAAGACACCCTCAACGAGGACCCCGAGACTGACATCTACTGGGAATGGCCCTGGCCTTGTGAAGGATGGAATCAACGACCTTTGGAACACATTGCTCACCTCCTTCAAGCTCGTGGTCGTGAATGGCTTCCATGCCGTGTTGATGGGTGCAACTATGGTCTCCGTGCTGATGATGGTGCTGGCGACTTCCTCCGGAAGCGATGGATGATTCGGACAACCAGCTCCTTCTTCCACCAGCGCTTCAGAGCTAAGGTATGTCCTGGCAGTCACCGACATGCCTGGATTCAGGGAGCTGAGACGTCAAAGAGCTCCTACTATCCTTGGCGCATGGTCAAATCGATGGCCCTGGCATGGCGTCAAGAGTATGTCTCCGACCGCAACATGCAGCTCATCTTTGCCAAGGAGGACAAGCCCTACATGATCCCGATTGAGGACGAGATCAACATGGAGCGTGCTGCGCTTCAAGCACTACCTGCTCTCCAAGAACAACCAGCGGGACAAGAACTTCTACCCGAAGGTGGTGCCACATCCAGCTCTACTTCCTTGTCTCCAACCTCGGATGAGCTGAAAAAGTGGAAGGCCCGTCTGGCCCACTTCCACAAAGCAGCGGGTCATCCAACAGCCCGCAACCTCGCTCGTCTTGTGCGAGAGGCTGGAGGACCACTGTGGAAGATACAAGTTGCTCTGGAGCACACTTGTGAAACCTGCAAAGCCCGCAAGCCTGGTGGCACATCATCGGGCCAAGTTCCTCCTGCAGCAACTCACGCACTACCACGTGCATGGGAATGCATTGGTTTGGACACCTCCGAATGGCTGGTTCCTGGTCTACGAAAGAAGGCCAGATTCCTGTTGATCATTGACCTGGCCACCAAGCTCCGTGTTGTGGTGCTCCTCAAGCTTTACCCGGAGTTGGCTATGCAACCCGAGGCAACCGATGAGATCATTCAAGCACTTGTTCAAGGCTGGTTTGGTCACTACCCACGACCAAAACTGGTGGTTGCCGACAATGCCAAGAGCTTCATCTCCTCAAAGTTCCACGACTTCCTCCAGTCCGAGAACATTCAGGTACACTACCCTCCTGAGAAAGAGCCGTGGAGTCATGGCATTGTGGAGGCCGCCATTGCTGACATCAAGCATGTGGCTACAGCGATCCACCAGGAGAACCTGAACAACAGCCCTGAGATGACTCTCACGCTGGCAGCTTCAGCCTTGAATGGCACTGAATACACCGCCGGCGACTCCTCCCATCAATGGGCATTTGGCACCAAGTACTCCATCAGCGACGAGGACATTCGCATCTGGAATGCCATCGAGCCCAAGGAAGACTTTCTTCGGATCACCAAGGCTCGCTCTGAAGCTGAGGAGGTTGCGCGTCGATCGCGTGCGAGAAGGGTGCTAAGCAAGCTGGCCAACACCACTGTCCGACAGCCTGTCCGACAGTATGCGCCGACAGAACTGGTCATGGTTTGGCGCAAACTTCAAGCTGGAGAACAACATCAAGGTTCACGTGGAGGACACAAAAAGTCCGGAAGACCTCAATGGGTGGGACCCGGAAGAGTCGTGTTTGCCGAAGCAATCCCACATCAGGACATTGATGACAAGCGGCAACACATTGTTTGGGTTCTTTTTGGACGGAAACTTCTTCGCTGTTCAGTTCACTCCGTCCGGCCTGCAAATGAAACTGAACGACTTCGGCGCGAAATTTCGTCAGGGGAAGACCCCACACAATGGAGGTCCTTGGATGATATGATCCCCAAGAAGGAGTACACCGACCTTCTTGATGAAGAACCCGGCGAACTCGATCAGGAACTACCTGACCTACCAGCGGCTCCAGATGAGACTACGCTGGCTCCGATCCGCCGAGCTGTGGGAAAATCCACCCTGAAGGACTCTGACTACAAGGTCGTGCACCGATCCAGTCCAATTGGTCAAGCTCGAGCACCTCCTGCTCCAAAGAAGTATCTGCCTCCACCGCGGACAACGCCGACTTCAGAGGACTTCAAGGTTCCTGATGATGAGTACACCCCATCTCTGCCAGATCCAGAACCTGGCGATGATCCTGAACCAGAGGGCACTACATCCTTGCCTTCATCTTCTACAAGGGTCAATGACTATGGGGAGGATGAAGCGCCAGATCCAAAGAAGCTCAAGTTGGCCGACGCCAAGGAGCCAGAAGTATGACCTCAAATGGTTGGATCTGCTTCGTTAAGAGGCGCAAGATGAGATCACGCACCACGACCTCTTCGCCTTCCTGGAGTCCTATGATGGTGAATGCCTTTCCATCGAAGTGGACATTGAACTCAAGAACCGGCGACAACGCCGCAGCTTCATGCAGGACCCTGTCCTCTACCTGACCAAGAAGCTCAACTCCTCCGAGGTGAACCTCAAAAATGTCAGTGCTCAGGACTTGGTTCTCTTCAACCGGGCCAAGTCCAAGGAGGTCACTTCCTTCTTGCGCAACAGCGCAGTTCGACGCTGCCTGGATGATGATGAGGCTCGTGAAGCATTTGGCAGTGGGCGCATCCTGAAGGCAAGATGGGTGCTGACTTGGAAACCTGTCACGCCTGATGAGCGTCAAGAAGCAGCACAAGATCAGCTCAACAACCCCAACACGGTGGTGAATCATGATGCCACCAGAAAGGCAAAGGCGAGGATCGTCTTGCTTTGCTTGGCTTCCAGCATCCAAGCCTGCTTGAGCGCAACTTCAAAACGTCTGCCCCGGTCATCTCTACATTGGGACGCCATATGATCTACATGGCCTCCGTGACCCATCAATGGAAGTTGCAAGGACTTGATTTGGCCTCTGCCTTCCTGCAAACCGAGCCCACAGCTGCCGACAACCAGCTCTACACCTATGGGGTGCCGGAACTTCGCGCTGCACTCGGAGCTCCTGAAGATTCCTGCTTGCGGATTCTTCGAAACATATATGGCAGCACCACAGCTCCCCGCGGGCTATGGCTGTCGCTCAATGAGAAGCTCACATCTCTGGGCGGCCACGTGGTTCGAGGTGAACGATGTCTATGGGCTTGGTACAGCAAGCACGAAAAAGATCCACATGGTGACCATCCACGCCTCATCGGCCTGATGGGCGGACACGTGGACGACTTCCACAGGATCGGTGATGAAACCTCAGCCGAGTGGAATGAAGTGTGCCACCTCATCGACTCTGCATACAATGAGCGTCCCCTGTAGTTAAGCTTAGTTATAAGTTGGGATAACATGGGTTATAACTAATGGTAACATAAAGTATAACATGGTGTGTGTAGGAGTAAGTTTACTTGATGTTATATCTTACTTGCAAGTAAGTTGTTCTAGAAAGTGAAAATATTTCTTAGTTATAAGTACGATGTAAAAAACATCAAATAAGTTATAAATAAGTTAGCGAAGTTACATTTTTGTAAAGGTTTTGCACCTGTTGCCAAGCACTGGTTTAAAAAAAGGGGTCTGCACCTTTTTTATAAATAGCAGATGTAGATGGCTTTAGATGCAAGCATTGTTTGCTTTGTGCAGAAAAGGTTTTTTCTTCTTTTTTTTGCGCGGTGGTCCGTGCGTGATTCTTTGTGTTTGGCTGCCATGTGTTGTCTCAGGCAATGCTCAAGGTGGCAAGCTGCTTGTTGTTCAGGTTTAGCTGGTAGTTCTCATGTCGGATGCTGCAGAGCCAAGTGGAAAGCGGCTGCCCATGCAAAGCTGGGAGTTGTTTCCCTGCTACATCCCAGGCGATGTCTGGGACACGTTCAAGGGAGCGACGAACATGGTGGCAGCGCTCGATGCTTTGCTGGTCTTCTTATTGAAGCTTGGCCTGAGAACTCCTTCAGAGCCCACTCAAGCAATCTTGACATCGCTTCTCATCCTTCGAGATGGTGATGATCGAAAGGGGAGGAGCGCAGATGGCATGAGAAGCTTGTTTTGTACCTTGGAGTTTGAACAGTGGCACAGCTGTTGCTTTGAAATGCTTGTTTGTCTAGCACGAATAAGCAATCTAGAGCCCACATTGTTCGATTTTTGTTGATTGATACACTAGGCAACGTGAAAGCGCAGCTGCAAGCGAAGCTGGCCAGGAACAAGGACCAGATCGGCAAATCCTTGACCTTTGGCTTCTTGAAATGCTTGCCAGCCGACACCACAGAAGCTCCCAAGAATGTCCAAGAGTTTTGCTTTCCAGGTGGGCAGATTCCTACAATGCCGTGGCCTCTGGAGGCGATCTTGTCCATGGCGAAGGAAGTCCCACTGAGGAAGACCAGAAAGGATGTGGCAGCTTCTGCGTTGCCTGCGACTATGTTTCAAAGTTTGACACCGCAGTGTTTAGCTCTGATGCAGGGATTTTTGATGCAAGGCATGGCTGCTATGAATCCTTCTTTTCAGCAAGAAGTTTCTTTGACTATGTTGCGCCCACAGGCAAGGCAGTCGCAGTTGAGTGGCCTTCTGGACAGAGCAAGATCCAACTCTTCAGAGTTTTCCCAGCCGTCGCATCCTCTTGCCTTGCAAGATGCCCCAGCACTACCTGCAGATTCAAACAAGGGAACGCTAGCCCTGGAGGAGAAGGACACTGAGATGAAGGTGGAGTTGCCTGAATCCAAGGCAGAAGCACAGCCTGAGAAGCAGCAAGTGGAGGAGCGCCCACCAGCTTCAGCCCTGGTAGCAAGCAATCCACCTCACGTTGAACCAAAGTCTCCGACAGTTTCTCCACCACAGCAAGCGGCGCATGTGTCTTTGAGCGAAAGCTTACGGAAGATGCAGCATGCCAGGGGAATTTTGAAAAGGCCTGCTGCCGCTCCCAAGACACTGCCTGCCATGAAGAAGGTGAACCCACAGGCGAAGAAGAAACCTGTGCCTATGAAGAAGCCAACATCCAGTCTTGCTGGCAACAAGTCCTTGGGCAAGAGTGAGCTCAAAGAGAAGTTGTTGAAGACCATTCCCACTCACTTAAAGGCTGAGCGGAGAAATGGCTGCAGCAAGTGCCGTTGGGTGAAATTCTGCACTGTCAGCTGCTGGGCAGCCCGAGGCTGGACCATCTAGTGGCGCTTGGCCATTCTTTCTGTAGGGTGAAAGTGTGACATTGGCACGCCACAGTGGCCGTGACAACATGGCACTTCAGGAAAAGGGTGCATGGGTTTTGCATACATAGTTTAAATGCAGTTGTTCAAAGGACATGAACTAGGACTATGTAAAACATCATAAACTATGTATGGATTTGATCCCTTGGTGGTGGTCCATTGGGGGATCAAATCAATTTAGCTTCAAACCAAACTCTGTGTTTTTCTTGTTGGTCTATTCAATAGCGTTATCGTTATCGTTATCGTTTCCTGAGGCTCAATCTATGCATATCAATGTATAGTTCAGACACCAATGCTCAATGCCTCTACGATGCATTTACAATCAATAGTTCCAAGCCTCCCTAAGGGACAAAGAGAAGAGCAGGGAAGAGTTCTGGGCTATACAATCCATCCAACAACACTTTTACCACTGTGTGTATGTTTGTACCACTTGTTAAAGTTTGTTCCACTTTACATGTAGTGCCACTTTGTTCAATCAATGGACGGATATTCTAAGTACCCATGGCGTCGCGAACTCTACATGAAACGGCTTCGCCAAGCTGGTCTATGTGCAGACTGTAGTGGAGACGAGAGTGAGGAAACCGCTCCAAACAAATGCGTCCTTTGGCGTTGTTGGTTCACCAATTTTTGTATAAACTGTTTTTGTATAAACTAGTTTTTCAAGTTAGGTATGAATCATGGTATGAAGAAGAACATTGGCCAATGTTATGTTGTTTTGGATTTCGACTCAGGCCCGAAAGGAGATGTTCCTAGAAGCTCTTGCAGAGCCGCGGATTGACCAGAGCCTGGAAGACCCTGCAGAACCAGAAGTAAACACTGAAGTACAACGACCAGCAGTCTTGGAGATCTTGCTCGAGGAGGATGGACAGGATGAAGTGAAAGACCCAGCTCCAGGAAAAATCAGCAGCGCCACTGCTGACAACAGGTGTTCGCCAGCCACTGCCGACAGCATGGGTGCGCCAGCCACTGATGACAAAATGGATGGGCCAGCCACTGCCGACAACATGGATGCGCCAGCCACTGATGACCACATGGGTGGGCCAGCCACTGATCACAAAATGGGTGCGCCAGCCACTGATGACAAAACGGGTGCGCCAGCCACTGATGATAACATGGGTGTGCCAGCCGCTGCTGACAACATGAGTGCGCCACCTTTTAACCCAGGCTTTCCACTATGCAGGCGCGAAATGAAAAAATGGGCGGAGAGCCTAGGAATCAGTCGCCGCTCCCTGGAAAGAACCATGGGCGTGCACAGGAGCAAATGATGATGTACAGCATCTGTGTGGCGTCAAAAAGGTGCTTTTCATAGCTTGCCCACTGTTGCTGTTTACTTTGTGTATCTGTGTGATAAATTTTCTTCAGGCGGTGGTCCGCCCGAAGAAAATTTTTGAATGTTTAGGCAGTGATAAATTTTCTTCAGGCGGTGGTCCGCCCGAAGAAAATTTTTGAATGTTTACGCAGTTGCGTTGCAGCCAGTGTTTTTTTGCTGCAGGCATATCGCATCTGTTGCCTCAAGCCCATCCTTTCTGTGCTATAGCGGCAGCTCTCATGAAGTTCCACTATGGGTTCACCACAGCATCCAGTGCCAGGCATGCCATGACAGACGACTCGATTCGTGACCAAATGTTTCAAGGATGTGACTGGACCAGCCGTCTGCTGCCTCCAAAGCAGATCCAGCGCGTGAGGCTTGGTGGGGAATCGTTGCTTGGCGAACAAATGTTAATTATGCTCAGGAAACTAACAATGAATAAAGCTGGTTCAATTCAATAGATATGTATGATGTCATATTGACACGCACCCACGGTTTTTGGTCTATGGCTTGTTCGGTATCTATGCAAGTGCTGGTTCAACCTATCCAAACACCTTTCTATATGTTGTTGCTTGTATATGTTTAACTGTATATATTTAAAATACTAAATAGGTAGTATTAGTAAGACTACTTACTTATTGAAATCTAAATTTCACAATCCTCACAGAAACAAGAAAGTGTTCTATATTTCCAAGTTTTTTGCCTTTGGCTTAAGGATTTTCCTGTCGACCAATGACTTCATTGGCTCCTACAGCAAGTTCACCTTCCTGACCGATATGCAACATCAGGATGAAGGTATTGGAGACTTGCGCGACTACAAAGTTTTTGTGAACGAGCGCAAAAACTTGGCAGCTTTGGTGGAGGTTGATGCTGGCAGCCGTCTGATCTTGATTGAAATGGTGGATTCAACTACTTTGCACATGACCGCGGCCCTTACCCACACTCATTTCAGCAACGTCCAGTGCGGTGAATTCAAATCAGTGGAGTCCTGTTTGGTAAGTGCAGCCGAGGATCATGACAAAGCCTGGCCTGAGAAGAACGGATGCTTGTTCAAATTCGTAGCTGGCACTACGGCCATTGTTGAAGGTGATTGGAAGAAAAACATGAGTTCAGTGCTCAAAGCAGCTGGCATTACAAATGCAAATGAGACTACTGAAGAGACTGGGCCACATGAAGGGACAGCCAAAACAAAGCATGCGATCCAATCTCCAGTGAGCAAACCCACCACGGTTATGAAGTCTGTGATGAAGAAGCCGGCTAAGCGGTAGAGAACCTGGATCACTAACTGCAGATGTGGAAAAAGAGCGCGGGCTCGGAAATACTTTGACTGCTTTACACATGGTGGTGGTCCACCATGTGTAATTTGTTTTGTTGGCGCTCCACGAACCCATACAAGCCATGACTAAAGAGATACACGACGAATTCTTGGAGCAGGTGATATTTAAGAAACTTACAGACACAAAGCCATACAACCATGACCAAAGAGATTTCCCGACACATTCTTGGAGCAGGTGATATTTAAGAAACCTACAGACACAAAGCCATACAAGCCATGACTAAAGAGATACCCGACAAATTCTTGGAGCAGATGATATTTAAGAAACTTACAGACACAAAGCCATACAACCATGACCAAAGAGATTTCCCGACACATTCTTGGAGCATGCCACTTCAAAGAAAGCTACACACCCGAAACCATACAAAGCAGAACCAAAAGCATTCCCGACAAATTCTTAGAGCATGTCTAGTTTTTGATGTTAGGCCAAATCAAATTCAGTTGACGTACTCGAGTCTTGCGACATGTTGATACACTTTGATAGTGTGCGGATACAGGTTGACACACACACGCACACGTGAACACAAGTTGATACACTTTGATACTGTGTGGACACATGTTGATACACTTGGATACCAGGTGGATACATGTTGACACACATGTTGATACACTTGTGGATACATGTTGATACACTTGTGGATACATGTTGATACACTTTGTTAGCTGGTGGTTACATGTTGACACACATATGGATACATGTTGATACATGTTGATACCTTTTGGATACTTGTTGATACACATTGACATTGTGTCACAATACCCGTAAACATATTTGGATTTTTGATGGAAAACATCTGATCAACGAAGCCATTTTTCACAGACCTTTGCAGTGAATCACCTTGGTGACAATGAGCCGCCAGCCAGATGATACCATGTCCCTGGGAGAGACGCAGCTCTACGCCAATGGAGGGGATACTATGGTCGACCTTTCATCCCAAACGGATGCTAAGGATGAGCCGCCCAACACGCCCATCTGTGGCAAGTGCCAGTTGCCAGTGACCCTTGAAAACACAGTCCTGAAGAGCCTGAACCAAAAGAGCGTGACTTGCAAGGCATGCCTTGCATCATCAACTATGATGTCTCGTCACTTTACTTCCATGCCACCTGCATGGGACCAACTGTCCGATGAAGAGCGGGTGAATTTCTTTCGCAGCATCATTTCCAAAAAGGAGACAGCTTCGGGACACCTGAAGTACAAGGTCTTGCGGAATGAGCTCAAGGATGTGCTGGTGAAAAAAACAGTGGAAGAAAAGAAGAGAGGCTATACGGGAGAGTTTTTGCCACTGGAAACATACCGCCTGAGAGGCTTTGATGTCAAGAAGATTGAGGAGCTAGCGCAGAAAGAAGTTCACCCAATCTTGGGTGATACCTATCGCATTGACATCAAGCGCTTTAGTGAAGACTTCATCGAGCAGAGTATCGAAGAATCGTTGACACAGGTTGAAAAGACTGTGAAACGAAACCACCTTCCTGAGCACATGAGGCCACAGCCCAAGAAGAAGGCTAAGGCTGCGCCAAAAAAAGAAAGGACAAGGCAAGGACCCGGAGGGTGAGGCGGTTGAGGAGGAAAAAGAAAAGGATGAAGAGGAGGAAAACAAGCCAGCACCCGACCCAGTGTTTGTGGACCTGATGGCCATGGAGTCCGACAGCGATGTCGAAGTGACTTGTCAATTTATGTTCACAGGGTTAGTTATAACATGTCTATAGGATATATTGCATGTTTGGGATTGAGTTCCAAGTTATTGGTCTGAAGGTTTGAGATGCTTATGAAGTATTTTCTGCTGATAGTGAATTAGGGTAGAATTAGGCTACAACATGGGTGTGAATTATGTGTGGTTTGGGTTCCCAACTTGTTCAACCAACCGGTCAAAATGTTTTTCAGTTAACTGGTCATAGTTTTAACGGTTTTTTTTGATCACCCAACGCAATCTTCCCCCAGGTGATCGTTTGTGGTGGCAAGGACTTGACTCAGAAGCAAGCCGCTGCAAGGGCTAAGCGAGAAGCCGCGAAGGCCGAGAGGAAGAACCTTGCTGAACAGCAAAAGTCTTCGAGGGAATTGGTGTCCAAAGCCACCAAGGTAATCACTTCAGCTGAGCCTATGCTGGGCAAGCTTGAAAAGGCTTGGGATGCGCTGCAAAAGGACAAGAACAAGGACAACATTGATGAGATGACTATCCAAAATGTGAAAGAAAGGATTGTCTGGACAAAAGCAGCAGTCAACGACGCCCAGAAGATCATGAAGCAGGTCAGTTCTGGCAAAGTTGTCGACAAGGACGAGTTCAGCGATCTCTATGGCTGTGAGATTGGTCCTGAGGTGAAGAGCTGTAACTCAGTGCTGAAGGCATTGACATACGCTCGAAAAGCAGCGAAACCACAGAAGGGCGGCGCCTAATTAGATATGTTGTGAATGCTGAAGGTGAGTTTTTCAGCTCGCTGTAATTACTGCTGTGGAGATTCCCACATCAGAGCTGTGTGAGGAAAAAAAGGTTGTGGCGGTGCTCATTCACCCTTTTGCCTGCCTGCCAGTTGCAAGCCTTGGTCACAATACCCGCAATACACAATACCCAGCGGTTGCTGGGTTTACCTACTACAAAATACATTTTAAAGGAAACACACAGCAATCTTAAAGCAACCTACAGGCACAGAGCCATACAAATCATAACCAAAAAGATTACCTCTAAATTCCAAGAGCGTAATCAAAGAGTTAAACACCCATAAGTTACCAAACACCACTGTAAAGATCAATAAATTTGGTTTGTGGTGGTCCACAAATCAAATATATTGATCTATAAAACATGATTTACATTTACAATATATAGCCCTTTAAACAAATAGATGCAGCTATCTACTTGTAATATTTAGGTTTTTGGTAAGAAAAATATGACTATAAAGAGGTGGACCACCACCTCACCTATATATATATAAGGTCCAATATGTAGAACGTACATATATACAATATATATATATATTATGGGTGGACCACCACCTCAACTATATATATATATATACCGATCTATCTGAGGACTAAGGACAGGTCTATAATATATATATATACACTGTATATATATATCTATATCATAGGTGGACCACCACCTCCACTGTATATGTAACTAGTGCTAAAACAAAAATATAAATATTTGTATATATATATATTTCTATATTTGTAAAGATTAATAAACTTGATTTTGTGGTGGTCCACAGAATCAAATTTATTAATCTCTAAAATAGTTGCACCTCTCACATATAGCCCTATCAAATAATATCTAGATACAGCTAGTGTTATCCATCTAAGAGACCAATACGCCCAGCACAAATCATAACTAATTTTTCATTTTGTCTTTTTGAGGACGTGGCCGTTTACACCTGCAGGATCAAAACTCAAAGACTAACATGTCAATGCATATCCTGAATGCATGAGTAACTTTTTTTGTGACATTTGCTTTTACAGTTCATACTGTTCATACATAGAACATGTCATTGCTAAAGTGCTACAGTTGGCAGACTCTCTGGAGAGTTCAGCGCGAATGGCAACGCATGGCAACGCATCCATCCAAGAAGCAACGCCTGTCAAAATCCTTGGCTCATGCAAGTGCTCAACTTGTGTACAAGCTGAGCCGGCTTGCTGCTGGCAAAGAGCCAGCATCAAAGCCAACAGGCGCATTCAGGAGGCAAGCTGAGAAGGCATTTGGACCTGCAAAGGAAGTTTATGTTCCGATCACGATGGCCGACCAGAATGGCGAACCAGTTTGCTTTTACGCTGCAAATATAGAGAGTCTCTTCAACTATGTTGCAGCCAGAAGCCCCGCTTACAAAGAAGCTCACGGGCGGTAACGTGCTGGCAACAGCGCAAAACAAAAAGTCTACATTGTTTTACCTTGCCGCCACAGAAGTGCAACACCTACGCTCCCCAGAAGCATGGCTTCCGTTTTCATTGGTTCCTATCATGGACTTGCACTTGATTCCTGGGGGGCTCACAGCTATCTCAGTGAGGCTGTGCGATTATTTGTCCCATTGGCTGAACAATGGTGTTCGTGTTGCAGGAGTGCATTTCACCCTTTCTGTCAAGGCTGTGCTGGGCGACTATGATGCAATCATACGGCTCTTTGGAGCTAAGGGAGCAGCGGCCCTAAAGCCATGCTGCTTGTGCATGAATTGCGTTTCAAAGACATCTCAAACAGACCGCGCTGACACATACTTTCGCAGAATCACTTGCTCCAATATAGAAGAGTTTCAACTTCTTCAGCAGGCAGAATTGAATGCTGTGTATGACCACATGCTGGCCACAGTTCCAAGCCTCCCTAAGGGAGAAAGAGAAGAGCAGGAAAGAATTCTGGGCTTTACAATCCATCCAACAACACTTTTGGCTTCCACTAGAGCGCGTGATATATTGAGCGTTGACAAGGTGGTGCTAGACAGTATGCACATATATTTCAGCAATGGGATCGCTGCGCAGGAACTGTTACTCCTACAAGCAGCATTGGAAACAAAGGTTGGAGTTACTTTGCAACAGCTTTGCGCTAGTGCTCAGGAAGTTGCATGGACTTGCCAGTCTTTGAAGTTTCGACCACGATCCGCTCGCAAGCATTTGTTCGAACAATCTCTTTGGCAGGGGAATGTGTACAAGGGTTCAGGCAGTGCTGTCTGGTACCTTCTACCCATAGTTTGCTATTACGCCAGCAACTTAGCAACGTATGAAACTTTGCCAGAGCTCCAGTGTTTTCATGCCTTGATGGAGGTGGTGAGATGTTTGAAAGACCTACGTCGTGGATGGGGTTCACCGAGGGACCTTCCACAGCTCCAAAAAAAACATTTCGACTTGTATCTCAGCTGCTACGGTGAAAGTGAAATCAGACCAAAGCATCACCTAGCCCTGCATTTGAGTCGTTGCTATATGACTTGTTGCTATTGCGATTGCTGGCCCACCGAAGCCCGGCACCAGCTTTACAAAAACCAGCTGTGCGATGATTTGGGAGGGTTATTGCGAGAGAGAGAAGGAACCTTTTCACAGCAAACCTTGACCCGAATGCTTCTCAGATCTGTGGAGCTGCAATCAGGCAGGTGGAGCAGGAGCTTGACAGGCAAAGTGTTTCCAACTGATCAAGTCGAGGAAGCTAGCGGCATTCGTGGTGAAATCAGCACTGGCTACATCATTGGTACTATGGAGCTTCGCAAAGACGCTGTTTTGTTTGTGGGGTCACACTTTGCTGGCTTGATCCTGTTCTTTTGCAAAGAGTCTGATGAATTTTTTGTATTTGTCGAGTGCTTGATAGAGCTCAACGCTGCTGAACCCAATACACGTCTCTTTCGGAAAACAGAAGAGACAAAAGCCATCAGCCTCCACAAAGTGGAGACGCTGTGGCAGCCTGCGTGGTGGACGCTGCAAAGCAGTGAAGTCCTGTGTTTGTTGTGAGAAAAGATGTGCTTTTTCTGAGTGCTGATGGTGGTGGTGGTCCACTCACCAATTTTTTCTGTGCTGCAAACCCACCCTTTTCATATCAGTTTCTGAAAACAAATCGTTGTGGTTCACGCATCCTTCAAAACAGTTCTCTCTTCTCATGCAAAAAAACAACTTTGGTCAACACGTTTTGAAGTTACTGAAGTTAATAACTTCAACAACTAATTTATAACTAATTTGTAACATAGATAAAAATGCTTTTCAATAACTTCCGTATAACTAACTTATAACTTTGGGAACTGGAATATCTTAAGTTATAACTATCTTAACTACAGGGGACGCTCATTGTACCAGTGGGGAACTATGAAGCAGGGTTCCTATAGGCACGCTGGCTCTGATGTTCACACCGTGGTCGACCGCTCTGGCAACTTCAAGATTGTAGTCGACCAGAACAGCTATGTGGAAGGGCTCATGGACATTGACATCGATGCCAACCGTCTCCGTGAGCAAGATGCTCTCCGACCCTCAGAGGTCGCAGCGTGCCGAACGGCACTCGGAGCCCTACAGTGGCTCGCTGTGCAGTCGCAACCACTCCTGACTGCACGGTGCAACCTGCTCCTTTCTGAGGTCACCACTGCCGGAACCTTGGAACATGCAAGGGAGATCCAGGCAATGATTGCCGAATGCCGTGCTCAGGCCACATCACTCGAGTTCGTGAAGTTCGATGACATCTCCCACTGGTCCGAGGTAGTGTTCATCGGCATGGGCGATCAGGCTCACAACAACAGGAGCAAGGGCGAGAGCACTGGAGGCTTCGTGATCCTGGCCTCATCACCGGCTTGTAAGGCCGGGCATGTCTGCAGGATGAGCCTCTTGGCTTGGCGCACCTGGCGTCTAAAACGCCGGGCAGTGGGAAGCAACGACGCGGAGGTCCAGGCGATTTTGGAGACGGAAGATGTCCTGTTCCGCTGCAGATTGCTATGGGCAGAAATCCATGGCGCCGGCTTGAAGATCCAAAGCCTACGTGGCTTCAACATGGTGGACGCCATGGAGGAGATCGTACGCCGCGTGCGCGGCGTGCTGTGCACAGACAGCCGAGGAGGGTTCGACGCAGTTGAAGTCAATGAATCGCCGCTACTGGGGTTGGCGAACCTTCGAAGCGCCCTACAAGCCTTTCAATTGCGCGACCACTTGAAGCGCACAGGCTGTGAATTGAGGTGGGTAGCGTCCGATTACGACCTCGGGGACGCGCTCACTAAAAAGCGGCTGGACAGCAGGTTGGTTCCTCCAAAGCTGGAAGTGGGCGATCAACTTCGACCCGACGTTCACAGCGGCAAAGAAGAACAAGAAGACCGGCAAGACTGCGCTGGCCAAGCTCGATGCTCATCAGACAAAGTCTGAGTCCTTTTGTTTACCGGTGCAACACGTGCATCGAGCATCCATGTAAAGATGCCACTTTTCCACCGTGGCTTTTCATGCTCAGGGGCCCCTTTTTGAAGCCAGACCTCAGCGGTCTTAGAAAAGAGAGCCATAGGCACCGGCTGCCTTTCGATCGACGTGGTTTCTTCGAGCCCTTTGTTTTCGCTACCGCTGCGCTCCCGCTACAGAATGTTCGAAAGTCATATCGTCTTGGGAAACATCACCTTGATGATGACACAATGGAGGAGGATTCTTCCTCTATGCTGTCAGGCACACAAGTCCAGTCACATGTAAATCATCAAAATGCAGGCAAGCTACATAGTATCATATACACCGGGGCCTGTTATTAACATTGCACACACTCACACCAACATGTATGTTGAGCACTGCACGCGCGTCTTTAGCCATTGCCGTTTGTTACATTGAGGTTTTCCTGCTGCCAGGGCAATGCCGAGAAAGGCTATGAGTACGAGGACTGGTGTTCAAGTGAATTTACTGCTTGCGATCTTTCGGCCAAGTAGTCTTGGTGCAGTTGCAATTGACTTCGGCTGTTGCAGGCTTTTCGTTTGATTATGGTG